TAGACAGGAATGGTTGGACGTGATGATCTCAAGGGTCTTTTCTAACCGAGCGATTCTGTGATTCTCAGACCCTTGAGGTGCAATTAATCTGCCTCAAACTAGATGTTGCAGGTGCCCACAATTGACTTAGTCCCTGTGAGATCTCTCTCTAGTCCGTGTAGGAAATGTCTGCCTCCAGAGGGCAGTTCATTACCTCTGCTAAGTGTTTATATTAGAATGAGAAAAATCACACTCCAGAAATGCTAGATTCTTTGTAGTGACTATAAATGAGTTGACGGGGCCTGGTTCAGCTGGAGATTCATGTGTATGAAGTTACATTGAGATTAATCCCGTGACAGGATTTCTGCCACTTTGAGGCTGCTGGTGCCGAATATGGGAAAGTGACCTTGGCTTCATTCTAAACATGATAATAAAGGCACGTGTTTGGCATTCAGAGGTTCTGCTTTTCTGTTTAATCTGTGAACTGCTTAATGAGGGACCTATTAAGGGGCACAGTAAAATAGTTAAATTGAGCAGGCTGGAAGGGACCTGACCGAGTCAGTGATTTAACAGAATTGGGAGGGTGAGAAAGAGAAGGAAGAGGGAAACATTTGTACAATGTGCCATGTGGGCATGCTCTTCTGTGTCCGAATCAACAAAGCTGACCCTGGCAAATGAGACACAGAAATACAACAGATCTTACATCCAGAAGCTTTGGAATGGCACAAAACTTGCTAGGATTGTGCTCGTAAATAATAGGTCTGAAACACCTTTTGAATTTCATTGATGAAAAACGCGGTTGTGTATAGGGATCAATGTTGTTATTGAGGTAACAGGAGGGGAATAGCAGCATGGTCACGTAACACAGCGAACTTCTGAACCACTGGGCCTGCATCCAGCCACGCAGCTCACCATAAAACTGCCATAAGCTGACATGGGCTGAGTCTGCTGGGAAGAACTCCTGCTCAAAGCTGCAAGTTGTGATTTTGCTTTCTGGCATTTTGTTTACTGAAAACTGAACTTCTGGTTTTGTTCTAAAGACACTTTCCCTGGAAGCTCCTGCTCGAATTAAGAATAAAGCTCCTCCTCTGGACTGGCCGCAGGAAGGTGAAGTTGTTTTTGAAAATGCAGAGATGCGGTACCGAGAGAACCTCCCTCTAGTGCTTAAAAAAGTGTCCTTTACCATCAAACCCAAGGAAAAGATTGGCATTGTGGGGAGGACAGGCTCAGGTAAGGAAAAACACTAAGCAGAGTTAAGTGCTTTCACAGTGGGGCAGTCATATTGATTCTCGCAAACTCCTGTTTGTGAGATGACCTAAATCCACTCCAAAATGTGGTTTCTAAATAAGCAATTAATATTGCTGTATTTGGGTTATGTGGCAAGGCTTTGGTAGCACGTGCCACAGCAGGGGGTGGCTTCAGTGAGGAGAGATTATTAGGAGCTGCCCCTACAATTGTTAGAAGTTTAAATGCTGAACTCCAGCATTTTTTGCCAAGACTTTATGGTATTTTAAAACACTTTTCTTACACTTGGACAGCTTTTAAAATGCTTTCTCATCTCAAAGCTGCTATGACTCTGTAGAAACACCAGTATTGTTTTTCCTGTCTCGTTTTTAGGGAAGTCTTCCCTTGGAATGGCACTCTTTCGTCTCGTTGAACTGTCTGGAGGCTGCATTAAAATTGATGGAGTGAAAATAAATGACATTGGTCTGGCAGACCTTCGCAGCAAACTCTCAATAATTCCTCAGGAACCTGTGCTATTCAGCGGCACTGTGAGGTTGGTGAGACTGTAAGAAGGCAAAAGAGGGCTACTAGCTTACACTTGAACTCAGAGATGCCTGGTGAGGTGTTAGTTCTCAGGCATCCTAGCTTCTGTTCTCTGTTTATTTGAAACAAAAAAACCCCAGGTACATGATTTTAGCTGGCCCAGTGCAGAACTGGATGTGGTCATCCTCTATGGAAGTCTTGATTTCCCTCTAGATTTGTGTGAAGTTTTTGAACCTTTGTCTTCCATCTCTACACTTTTGTTCTTTGGCTGCTCTAACCCTGGTGTGCTGGGAGCATCTGATTGCCTTGGCAGGGAAATGCTGTCAGTGGAGGCGAGATGGGAATTATCCATCCGGATGAATTAGCACACTGCTGTTTTGTTATTCATTGCCCAATAAAAATTCTGGTTACGTTTTCTGCTTTCCCCTCCAGATCAAACTTGGATCCTTTCAATCAGTACAGTGAGGAACAAATCTGGGATGCTTTGGAA